TTTTGGTTTTTCCACCACTTATCACTACTAAGCATGCAAAGATTCCATAAAATTGGTCACTTCACATTTAAAATTACAATGTCCTTTAACTTTTAAGCCTTAAATATATTTTGATCCTTATTGCCCAAACTAGTGGAACCTTTTATTGTTTCATGCTCCCAGTTTTGTTAAGAAAAACAGCCCAAAAGGGAATGAAAAAAGGTGCACTACCAAGAAATGTAGCAAGAAATGTCAGGATTTTTTTTTATATAAGCTGCATCAAATAAAATAATAATTAAAGCTTTCAACAAACTTTATGGTTGGCATAAGATAATTTTAAAGATTAACCAAAAACAACAACTTTTGCATGGGAACTTTATTTAAATTATACTTAATGGACTCGGTGAACTGCCGACCAGCCTCACCTATATGTAGGTACTATATATTTAGTATTTATATAGATTATTTAACATTTAAGTTTTATGTTACACATTACATTCCCTATAATAAATCTATCTACCTGCATGCAACTTCCCATAATGAGTCCATGATGTAACATCAATAGTATTTCTATAGCAAAAAACACGATAATGTTGCATATAATGTTCGAGAAGGAAGTGAGGAACGAAAGGTTTATTGCTACCTTGATACATGAAAGTTTCGGATCTCGATTTGTAATTCTTCAAGTTGTCCCGCGATATCTTTCAATTCATCAAGGGTACCCGACAGTTTAATCACTCGATTTTGGGCTAATTCTTGATATGGTTTGCTAATGAGCGTCACGTAGTTGTTTAAAGTGTTGGTAGCATCCACTAAGTCCTTTTGCATGGCCTCTTCCAGCTGACAAGCCAAGGCATCAACTGTTCTTCTCACTTTGTCGATCACTTTTTGTCTCCGAGATGAGAAATTTGAAATTGCCAACAGACTATCATCAAATATAATTGTGATATGAGTCAAATTCTGTTGAAACTATTTACACATATGAATAGGTAATCCGTAAAAACTAAAAGTCAATGAGGGTATTTGTGATTTTCAGTTATTGTTATTTTTATTTATTTTGGGTAGCAGCTAAAAGAGTCTCTAGAAAAATATATATTTAGATTTGTACTTACAAACCCATGTCCATTATCAGAAAAAAGATTAGGGAAGGAGATTACAGATGAAAAATTTACATACCCGCCAGCAGAGCAAAGGCCTAAAGCAAGGAGGTCTTCTAAAGTAGTAGGCAAGATAGATGTTAAAAGCGATGCAGATAGACCAGCTGCACCCAATCCACCAAAAGCGTCCAAGAGCTGAAAATGAAATAATGGAAATGAAGTAGCAATGAATTTGAGGCTGTAATTGGCTATAAAAAAAACATAAAATAAAATCATTTTCATTTTTCTAGTGAACAATTTTCTCTCCGAAATTGTGATTGGATACAAAATAATATCTTCTGATTTTTTCGCTGAATGTGTGCTTGAAATCAGTTATTAATAGAAGTTCTATGTACTTCATAAGCATAAAGGGGATCATCACCACCATGAAATCAGTAATATGACAATGATTTTTCAAGCAAATTTCATTTGAAAGCTTAAAAGTGGAAAAACGTGAGCACCTCAATGATGTAGATCTAATCAACTGCAAGAAAAATGCTACTCAAATCTTTTTATCATAAAAAATAAAATAGAAAAATAACGAATGGCATATGATGTTAATTTTCAAAGTGCTAATTGTTTCGCCTTCATTAGGCTGAAATGTGTTTCTACCGGAGTAAAATAAGTTTTGATGTAATCTGGAAAGCGTCTCGAACTTACCACTTCTCGGATTTCTTGCTCGAACAGTTTCGAAGCAGCAGCAGCACTAAACTCTACAATAACAGCTATACCTATTTCCTGCTTTGTTCTTAACAGCTCATTGGCCTCCAGCTGAGAGTGGATTGATGGAACAACTAAAGGCCATCTTTTTTTGAACAACTCTTTGTATGTATTTCCTTTACGAGAGTTTTTCGAGTGTAACCACACAGAATATTCGCCAAGCAGTTTCTGGATCCCAATGAAATTTACGGGACAAAAAGAATTATGACATGGCCAATCAACTCACACCACGTAAAACCCAGGTGGCTAGAAATATAAATGAAAGTAGTTTATGCTACAGGTGGAAATGGAATACACATGAAAGTTCTGAAGGAGTACAAGATTCACATGAGAAATAATGTTCTCTTAGCAAATAATGAGGATAGAAAATTTATACATGTCTTGACTTCGGAAATGCTAAGGAGCCAGCCGATGGCTCCATAACGGAACCATCGGATGGCTCCTTAGCATTTCCGGTCTTGACATACTAAATGTTCCTAAATTTGATGGAAAGGAACTAATTCGCAATAATTTTTTTTTTTTTTAAATGTTGTTTCTTATCCAGATTTAGTAAAAGGGAAAATGCAACAAAATTTTGCTTAATCTCATGGGTGATAAAATATGCGATATATACTTATGAACAGAAAGTGACAATTTCAAAACAGTGTCATGCATTAAATGCACGTACAATGGACAAAAACAGTCACTTTGAATGAAAAAAGAAATATAATATCAGTTTTAATAATTGGGGGAAGAACGTAATGATAGGGCTTAAAATAAGTAATAAAAAAAATAAATAAAAAAAAAATAATAATAATAATAATAAAATATGAAAAAAAAAAGTAAATATAAATTTTCAAGCAAATGGGCATTTGAATAAATATAATACCACGAGCTTGCAGCTCACGTGGTACCTCTCATCCTGTATAAGGGTGTTACACTGGTTGATACAGGGTTCGATCCCTGTACCTCACAGTTTCTTAGGAATTTATACTCTGTTACCTGCCTGCCCCTTGCAATAATTGATTGAACTAGGCACTTACTTCAGCTTGTGAAACTGCAGGGTCAATTATTTCATTTCGAAGACTTGAGGTCACTGGCATCTGGGCAGATTTATCTCCTTTTACAAAGTATGAGGTAACAAGATCAAGATTTGAAAGTTGTAGAGTAGAGTCTGCAAGTTTAACTGCACGCGTTTGTGCATCACTGATCTGCATTTGTTTTGTCAAACAGCATAAGCATTTTAAGTGAGATTCTATTACAAGACAATGTCCTTGAGGCTAAGGGAAAGAAAAGAAGGAAAAAGGTTTGCACACATTGCAATTTATGGGAACTTATTATAATGCATACCACATGGGATGGTAAAATCAAGGGAATATATTAAATTCAAAAGACAAATGGATTTCTGTAATTCGATCAAACCTCAAAGGGTAGTTCTGAAATAATCCTAAAGTAATATATACAGCAAAGATGGACCAACCGTACCAGAGATAAAATTTGTCTCTTCCAAGAAATGCTCTCATTTTCAACCTCCAAGGAATACCCTTTTACACTACCTAGAATATTATTCACCATCTTCAGGTCCTGTTCAGCTTGCTGGAACTCATCTGTGACCAGCTTTTGACAAGAAGAAAGTAACTGCTCAGCAATCTCAACTGGGGTTTGCAGTTTAAGCCTTATTCTCTCAATCCCATTATTTGTAGATACGTCCAAGAAGCTGTAGAGGTACTCCTCAAGATCAGAAAAGTTGTTGGCCCCTGGATATGGATTATTTGAATATTCCTCTTGCTTTTCTAGACCACTAAAAGCAGAAAGCTTTGCCTCAAGAGCACTTCTAGCAGATACAGGGTATAATGTGACCTGTTCAGCATTTAGCATCTTTCTTGTGTTCTCTTTGATGAATACAATAGCTTCATTTAACTGCATCGAGAATGTGGAAAAAAAAAAAAAAAATTCAGAGAAAGCTCCAATAGAAAAGTAAAATATGCCCTCTCTCTTGCTTGCATTATTAGAGAATGCTTTTCTTGAATAGTATAGGCAGTGAATACTAATTTCAACCTCATCTGCGCATTTGTACAGGTCACTCTTATTCAGCACAAAAACAATCTTTTTCTTCCATTGTTGAATGTAGCGAAGAAAAGCAACCTGACAAACAATATAAAAGAACAGAAGTGTAACTTCCCAGCTTAAGCAGGAGTATGATGGGAAAAAGATCTTATTCAGATAAATTCACATATTTGCATATGTCACAGTCATTGAACTAGTCCAAACAAGTTCTAATAGGTGCTAAAGTTAGATGAAAAAGAAATGACAAGAAACAAATAATATTAGCTGCAATCAATTTAGAGAGCCACAGTTTGCCTACTAAGACTATACTTAATAACTAGTACGTATCCCGTGCGATGCACGGGAGAGTGATATTAAATGAATTATTTTCACATGCTCTGTCCATTTAAGTCTATAAATTAATAGGGTTATCATCTATTTTTCACATATCTTAATCAGCGTGTTAAATCTAAAAAACGATAGGGTTATAATTTATTTTTCACCTCTTTTAATCATCGATCCAAACATTAAATATGAGCATGTTAGGGCTAACTTGTAAAATAATTAATATATTATTTAACTAACACAATTATACTAATATAAATTTGATTTTAGTATATATATTTATTCCTTGATATAAGAGAAATAACAGATTTACTTATTCTTGTTCACTATATAATAGTTGATTATTATTTTATTATAAACTTTGTTGTCATATAATGTCATTATTATTTATAAAAGTTACTGAAATTGTACGTCTTCTTTTTCTTTTAATTTTATGTAATAAAAAATATTTAATACACATTACAATTATTTATTTATGTAATTAATTTAAAATATTTAAATAAGTCTAAAATTAAATAGTGTATATATAATTTATAAAATATACACACGTGTTTTTTTAGGACTTAATTTGTATACTAATTAAACAACTTTTATTTAGAAAATGCCAAAAACACAATCTCTTAAATAGTAAATTATATTAATTTGAAGTGTAATTTATTTTTATATATATAACGAAATAAAGCTTAAGAAAAAATTATATTGGCAAAGATTAATTCACCAACTTGATTTCGCCTAATTAATTGGAAGAAAAAACTCTACCTACCCTGTTACGATTTCTTATAAATTTTTTTGGATAAAAAGTGAATATTTTTGAAAATCGATGCATTTAAATTTTGAAAAGTTGAACACTATTTTTCCTAAATAATTGGATAAGGTGACTTTAAATATCAAAGATGAACCGCTTTTCTTACAAAAAAATGTGGACACAGTTTTGAATGTACATCCCGTCCAAATATCAGTTTTATTTTAAAACAAAAAATTGCACGTGGCTTTTCTTAACATTTTATTTAGAATTATTTTCATAAATAATTGACACATTTTTTGCATAAGAATCTCAAAATTTGTTATCAAAAAATATATATTTAAAATTTTGGTAAAAAAAAATAAAATATGATACAAAAAAAATGAGATTCAAATTTTTCCATAAGAATCTCCAAATTTATTATCAAAAAATAGGATTCAGATGTTGTTACTAAAGATTTACATGTGTTAACAACTTTTCATTAATAGTAAGTCAAACATTATATTTATTTGGTCAAACTTTCTATTAATGTATTTTTCCAACAACCTCTTTATATAGATATAGATATAGATATAGATATAGATTGTCAGACAACTCGACAGGTCGCCCGAGGGGCAGCAAGACCTAATTAAGAACTACACAATTACAGTAAGTTATTTTCAGCAGTACAAAATATAGTCACCCAATCGCCAATACAAACAGAGTTAAATAGTAATATCAGTCAATGAAATATCAGTCGATGGCTAAAACTTATGAAAGCCCCCATGTACACTCAAGAAAGAAAGCTTTGAGGGAAATTGTACCACAAGAAAGAAAACTGCGTAATGGCAACTGGATCATACCTCGCTTTCGGTCAATGGCCGGTCAGCCGACATGACAAAAAGAATCAAATCAGCGCGAGGCACAAATTCCTCTGTCAGCCGTTGCTGCCTTTGGAGTATCACATTTGTTCCAGGGGTATCGACTATTGTCATCTGCTCGGGTGTAGGACATGAAGGAACATGGATAAAATGGCCTAGTTGTGGTTGAATAAGATTGTTAAGAAAAGATAGAAACTCACTTCTTTTAGAATTGGAGCAGGTATGTAGCATATGTATTGACCATCAGGATGCCTTTCACAACTTTGCTCACTGAACTCAGAATCAGAATAGCGCAGGAAGGTGATCTCATTAGTTGTGGGAACAACCCCATCCTTCAGGTATCTCTGGCCAAGAAAAGCATTGATGACACTCGACTTTCCAGAGTTGAACTCTCCCTGGTGAAATCAATTAAAGAATTTCACGTTAGATCTCCTGAGGTAAAAAAATATGGAGATAAGGAAGTAAACAAATGCTTCTTCTCGTACTCACACTACGCTCTTCAACGGAAAATCAGAATATCAAAATCTAAGCAGAATATCTAAGAGCTGAAATGCCTCTGCTTCCAGGGNTACGCGGTGGAGGAAAGAAGATATACCACGTTCATTGTTATAATAATAAGGCAGAGAAGAAATGGAAATCCTGCCTACATGAAGGCAGTTGTTACCAGATAAGCTTAACTTCAATCTCATGTGTATTTCCAGCAATAATCCAGCATGAAACACATAGAAAGATTAAATGCTAAGAAGAAATGTTTCAATTCAAAAATTAAAACATATTCTCAACAATGCTTAAATGTAAGCTTAAAAATGAGTTAACAAAGAAATTCTACTTATGCTAATTAGAAAGGATGAAACCTCAGAAATGTGAGAACCATATATAGGTTGTGCGGAAAAATGTATAATCCAATACATGTATGACTCAAGCCCAGACTGCACCAACAACCATCTAATAGACGAAAAGAAAAAAAATGCATTGAAATATAGAGCAAATACCCATATATATCCTGGAACCAGAATTGGTTGAAGTTCAGCACACAATTACCACTATAACCAATGAAAATGGTTCGTCAAGTTGAGAAACGGCATCTTTGAGAAGCAATATGTCCCCCATCTGCCATTGAAGAATGAAATTTCACATGGCTGCAGCAAGAACCCCACTAGAACAGAAAAATCATGTAATAACACCTGTAACTACCAAATTTTAGTAAGAAAAGATCACCAGTGGTGTGGCTCTTTCAATGACATTGATAGCTTCAAGCAAAATCGATCTCTCTGTTTCTATGAACTGTTTTTCTCTCTCTTCCAATCTAGTAAACCCACCGACCATCTGCTGCCCGTAAATTCCATTCTGTGCACCCAAAGTTTCAAGACTGTCAAAAACTTGACCACGCGCGTACTCACTGTAAAATAACTTCATCAGGTCATTGTCTCTGGACGAGTTCAATTCATCCACTGAAACAACTACACCATCAACTCCTGATGTCAGTGAACCCAAAGGTATCTTGGAAAACATTTCATCTCTTGTAAAGTCGGTCAGAATAAAAATCGGGATTTTTACACGCCCACACACAGAGCTCACCAGCTCTTCCAGATGGTCGCCGTCTTTAATAGTATAAATAAGAAAATCAGCACCCTCGGAATTAGAAGCATCTAATGCAGCCTCAAGAGTTTGGACATTTCTTCCAACTAGAGGAAGAATCACTGAGTCGGTTTTCGCATCCATCATTGTGTTCCTTGCCACAATTGTAGGCAGACCTAGCGAGAATTAAAAAAAGAACTAATTTAACATTGCACCTAAAGAAAATAGGCCACAACACACAGAAACACCAACATACAAAGAACTAAAAAACAGGAATAAACTTCCGTTAATGAGTTTAGAGCAAATATAACTCTCCTTAATTGTATAATGATATATCACTGAAGAATATACTATAGTTTGACTCCACAAAAGATTAAACATGATACCGATCTCCTATTATAAAAACAAGCCAATAAGATCGGCTTCCCTCTGTTGACATATCTTGATTCAAATGATTCTCCTCCAATAGATTGATTCATTAATATTTTCTTACCACCAAATCAAGGTTGAATGCCACAGTAACATAGCTTCTACATTCAGGTAAATAACAACATCATTCAAAATTGAGAACAAATTTTTATCAACTCTAACCCCAGACCCAGTTTCAATGATCCAAACACCTCTCAAGAGCAACAAGTGAAGTAATCAATCGAAGGAACTGAAATAAACAATATCACTTTACAGTTAATCGCCTTTTATGGTTAGATTTGGGCTCCTGCCACAAGTACTACCATAAGCACTAACCTTGATCGGAAAGCAAAACGCCGCTCGCATTGACCGCAGCAGCAATATCCACGCGCTCATCAATCAACAAGTAAGCTCGATCCCGAATCACAGACTTGAGCAAACAAGCAGCCTCATAGAGCTTCTTGCCGCTGCCTTCTCCGCTGGTAAGCACCACGATTCCGACCCTACCAGAGACGGCGCCGTCAATTACGTCGAGCAGCGCTTTGTCATCCCTCAACACGTCCTCGGCGCTCAACCGGAGCACGAGATTGGGAACTCTAATCTCCGGCCGCTTGTAGCCGCCGGGGAACAGGCTTCTCGGTGGATTCTGATCAATCGAGCTCGAAATTAGAGTTCTCTTGCTGCTCGCGGCGGAGCCAGCGAACGGAAGGGCTGGGGAGAGTCGAGACCGAGCAGATCGTGGTGTGTGATTAGGATGAAGGAGGTAAAGGCGGGGAGCTGTGGCGGAGGCTAACGGGGAAAGGGAGGATATTACCATAGATGTGGGGAGGAAATGCGGCGGCGGAGGAGAGCGGCGGTCGGCGGAGGGAAAGTACAGAAATTTGAGTGGTTGATGTAGTGTGTGTGGAGATTCTTCTGTTATCCGGATTTATCGGTTATTGAATTGCGGGTGACGATATTGAATATTTTACGACAAAAATATGTGTGGATTTTGACTTCTAAATACTAGGGGTGATTGTTTATCATTTCAACCCAAAAAAAAAATCAATCAAAACTCAAATTTAACTCAACTTTAACTCAACCCCACTATTCTCAATATTATCAATATAATTAAATAATATCAACCAATCATTCTTACACATCACATCAATTTTAATTCACTATTCATCCACTCACATAATTTTAACTAACTATTACTTCCAATCATTTTTCTTCTACTTTATATCAAATCAACTTTAATTATTTTATTTAAATATTATTTTAATATATCCACTAACAACTAACCATACCATTTTTTTTCAAAATTAACTATAGTTAAAAAATAACCCAAATAAAAACTAGCTGAAACTATAAACAATCACCCGGGCAAAATTGATTCTATTTGCTACCCGACTAATTCAAAGTACGTTTCATTTATATTTATTTATGACTATAGTATATTTGAATGGCTTTATAAGACGCATTAGAATGATGTATCCACCAAAAGATTGATAAATATAGAGTTATTCTAATATAAAGTTGGAGAAAAAAAATATAGAAAATTGTATCAAAAGGATAGTGAGAAATAGATATTCCATTACTTCGACAAATATTACTTTTAAAATGTATAAGCAATAATTTTAAACTATCAATATTTCATACATATTTGCAAATAAAATCAACATGTTCCAATCTTACTTGGTTTTAATCGTACAATGTGGCATTTCCATCATGCCATGACTATTTCCGGTGTTTGGAAAATGAATGTGCATGAAATTGCATAAACTTAAAATTATATACAACATTGCAATTTAATATATTTATATGATGAATTTGTAAAATATAATGAAAAAATCATGAATTATAGTAAGCAATTAATTATAAACTATCAATATTTCAATACATATTTGCAAATAAAAATCAACAAGTTTCAATCCTATGAATGTGGCATTTCCATCACGACATGACTACTTCCGGTGATTGGAAAATGAATGTGCATGAGAAATTGCATAAATTTAAAATTCTATACAACACAATGCAATTTAAAAATATTTATATGATGAAGTTGTAAAAATCATGAATATTAATGCTAATTAACCCGAAAGTTCTATGCTTCAACTATAAATTAATATGCTTTCTTCTTGTGCTATAATAACAACAGGGAAGAAAGAAAAGATCAAAATTGTTCAGTACAACTCTCTTTTCCAAGACCAGAACCAATACCCTGATAAAATTTAGTACGTTGAAGTTTGAACCTTTGATACATACATGAGTGTTTAGGCTATTTTTCCAAGCTTGCAAAAGAAACTCTCAGTGATGAGGACTGTAATAAAAGTTTCATTTCCAATCAATAATAAGCACTAATGAAAACCCAATATTAAAATTACAACCTAGGCACAAATAAGATGGCATAGAGAAAGAAATTCTTGTTGTCTTGTTCCTGCTCTTCATTCATAGTTCTTCATCAAAGCACTTATCCAATGATTTAGGGAACCCGGACATCATATCTGCTCCAATCGGTGTTCTAAAGGGCATCATCATGTCATCATTTTCAGTGGGAGACGAAAAATCGATTCCCAAATCCTTAATTAGATTTTCATAAGATGCCGAGAGATCTTGTGAAGTCAGCTGGTGGTACTCCACAAGCTGGTTCAAGCACTGGTTTTCCCTCTTCAAGTTTGCATTCTCGTTCGCCAGTCTCGATTTTTCTGCCAGAAGTGCTTCTAATTGAAGCCTTACCTGAAGAACCAACATATCAAATGAATTAGGCCTAATAACGAATTCCATAAATACCGCGACAATTTTTATTTTTTTTCCTTTTTCTGTTCAATTATTAAAATAAACTCTGTATAAAAAGCAAAACTATTCATTAGTTCAACTGGGATATTATTAAAGCAAAACTAGTTAACACAGACAATCAGGAGAAAATATAAAGAGATTGGTTATGAAGTTTGAAGGAAGTGTACCAAATCATCTTCATCTGGTTGGATCCCCTTATCTAACCCGTCACGAAGTTTTCTATTTTCTTCCTCTAATAGACCACACCTTTCTTGCATAAACCCCAAATCGGATCTCATCGACTTCAATTCTCTAGCCATGCTGGCAGCTTTTGTGGCCATAGAAATTGCAATCTTTACAGGAAAAGAAAAAAGGATAAGAAAGAGAAAAATCAACCCATCATATGCAATAAACACTGGAATAACATGATGCAGAATTACAAAGTAACCTACACTTTTAGCTCTTTTGATTTTTTCCAGCTCATTCGGGACCTTTTGCTCTGTTTCAAGTGAACCTACTTCATCTTGATTTTCTGTGCACTGGTTGGAATCCAGCTTTCTCTTCAGTCCTCTCTTATCTGTCTCATTATCATCTTCCTCTTCTGTTTCATCTTTATTATTCTCTTCCTTTGAAATGCCTCCTTCAGTTCTCGCATTCTCGAGGGTGGCGTGAAGAATTTCGGTCAATGTGGGAGGTTTAGCTAGATCTCGAGCTCCCTGTGAAAAACAGACAAGGTTAAAAGAACTCATACATTGCATATATAGGGGAAAACTCATACAATGCATGTGGGTTTCCTGATATAGTTAGTTCGCCACCAACACTTCATTTATTGATACGACAAATATTTAATTCTGTCATGTGTGATGAAGACTTTTTTCATCACATTAGAGAAAGTATCAGAAAACCATGAGTTCTGCAAAATCTGAAACAAATTTTCAATCAAGTCTTGAGGTCTGTTGCCTTTCCTTTAGCATGTGTTAACTAAAACAAAAGGAGACCACAAAAATGAACACCAAAATTACTAGTAAAATCGAGTTCAATACGCCTGCTGGTTAGGCAGCCATACTTTTTTTTCCAACAGATATGTATACTCTCAAAGGGAAATGTCATACTATGAAAACGACATAAGCAAAAATATTGTATTTCATAGCATAAGTATACATTAGTGTTATAAAGGTATGATAGATTGACCCGCCTAGAAGTTAGGCCGGACTTAGACAAGAACTTGGGAACCAAGTTCAGTTAATTGGTGTGTGACTTGAGAACTAATTCCTCTTATCATTTGGCCTATAAATCACACTAAGCGCGCTGTATCCAACAGTGACAACGCAATATAAAGAATGAGAGAAAAGCTCACATAATTGCACAATCTAGCAAAACTTGAGAGAACACACAAAATTTCCACCAATAAAAATCTAGATTTAGAATTTAAGCAACTGTTACCTTGTTACCTAACTTAATACACACAGAGTCTAACCTGAAGAGCATTTTCCAGATTGTTAGAAAGCTGGGAAAGAGACTGAGCCACTGAATCGAACCCTCTCAGCAAAAGCATCGAGTCATCCTTCAATCTCTTCGCTGGGTCAATCGCTTCAGGATTCTACAACAACCAACAACAAACAAAAACAAAATCAAAACCTCAAAACCATCAATCAAACACCAAAATGAGGGGTTTTCCCACAACCATCTCCCAATCAGCACCCAAAACCTTCGAGATCGGATTTCGATTTACCCTCACCTTCTGCCGGGTCGACGCTTGCACGATCGGCTTTCGGCTCTCGACAAGCGCGTCCACGCGGCTTCTGAGCGCCCTCCAAAAGCGCTTATCGGAGGACGGGCTGAATAACGGAGGAGACGTAGAGCTCCTCAAGCTCGGAGATCCCTGTTATTTAGAAAAAAAAAAAAATGATCTGCATTAAATTCGAGCTGAATTATGGATATTTTTTTCAAATCAATTGCTGAAAAAGGGGGATTTTTTTTTATTTTACCTTGTCGAGGGGAGCAGCGGATCGGGATTCGATCGAAGCTGTTGCCATTAGAGTTTTCCTGGATTTAGAGAGAGAAAGTTGGAGAAGAGAGAGGAGGAGGAGCAAGTAACGGCTAGTGATGAGTTAGCCAAGGTTTTTACGGCCTTTTTAAGTACAGTTGGTGGTGGTGTTGGTAACGTTCTTATTTATCCAACGGCTGAGGGTTTTTGGAGTTGAATTTACGTGATTTGGGATGGAATTGAAGAAAAAAATTATTTCTATTGCAACGGAGAATTTGTCTAAATTTGGTTGAATTTAAGAAAAGGAGAATAAACAGTAAAGGAAAATTACATGTGTTGTATGTATTGGGGGAAAAAATTTTGTTTGCTGAAATAAAGTTGCAGGAAGAATTAATAATATTTTTAATGTAAAGTAGTTTGATATAGAGAATAATAGTTCATTGTGATGTGAAAAAAAAAAAATAGTAAAATAATAACTAGTACTTATAAATATGAAGTGAAGGGACAATAAATTTTATAAACGAAAAATATATAAGAATAATTTATTTTTAATTTAAATGTTATATTGAAATATATTAATGACAAAAAAGAAAGAAAAGTAAGATATATGAATGATGTATTCCTTAATTGGTGGATAGAGATGTTAAATGGTCCTTGGCCCAATGGGCCAGCCCGTTTAGTCTAGAAAAAACAGGGTTAGAGTCTTTTATTGTCAGCCCGTTTAAATCCGGGCTTTTTAGGCCCGAACCGTTTAGCCCGAAGCCCGCTAGGGCTAGCCCGTTTAATTTAGGTTGGGTGGTGTATATGTTTTTAGAAAGGTAAGTAATATGTATCATCCTTATATATTACAATTTTCCTATTCTACTTCATATGTTATGAGTTATAATGTATTATTATTATTTTGATAGATAATTATTAACAAATTTTATTCTATTTCACAGCAAAATATTTAAGCCAATCAGAACAGCTAATAAAAAACAAATAAGCAAAAATCTAACACATAGAATATAGTGATAGAATATAAATTCAGCAGTATGCTGTATTGTGAAAATTCCCGAAGCGTACCAAATAACTAGTCCAATGGTAGTTATAAGTAATAGTTCGAACATTTTATTTTCTATTGAGAAACAATATGTTATTTAAAAGTTTGTAATGTGTGTTTATATATGAAGTGTAGTTGTATATATATAGTGGTAAATACTAAATAACCGTTAACTAGGTGTTGTAATTATTATTACTATTATTATTATTATTATAGCCCGTATAGCCCGCTTAGCCCGAAGCCCGCTAGGTTTAGGGTTAAGTCCTTTTTTTGGTAGCCCGTTTAAATTCGGACCTTTTATGCCAGAACCGTTTAGCCCGAAATCGCTAGGGCTAGCCCGTTTAACATCTCTATTGGTGGATGAGTTAATTAATGGATTGAAAAATATATCCAATTACATTATCCAAAGAATAAAAAAGATTAAAACAAATGAAGAATTTTCTTGATTTATTATATTAAAACTTCAGGAATGTAAATAGTAGAAGAAAATTACCCGAAAGGAGAAAGGAGACGGAATAAAAAAATGTGGCTGCTGGGATTCGAGCCCAGGTCTCCACGGCCACAACGTGGAATTCTCACCACTAAACTACAGCCACTTAGTTGTTTATAATCAGAGATTTAAAAAGAACATAACTAGACACTAGTTTAAACTGTCTCCACAGGTCCCGGTTCAAAGCACAAACATATCCACCCTTTAGAGATTAGCTACATACCACATACTTTCTTCTATTCACACCCACTGCATCATGAATGAGAAAAGACCACAAAAATCAATTTAATAACTGTATATTTACAACAGGGAAGCCAAGTGTAAATTGAAACTTACATTTGGTGGAGCCAAAAAAACATTGTAATCCAATTAAAAGAAACAAACGCTTCTCTCAGCTCTCACACCATCAATCTTCAAGAAAGAAGATAACCACACAAGAGCTCCAATGGCCACTACTGCAATAGCTTCATCCTCATCCTCTCTCCTCTTCTCCACCTCCTCTCTCTCGTCCTCCTCATCATCCTCTCTCTCTCCCATTGCCCGTCTCTCTCTCTACTCACCCTCCTCTCACTCTCTCTCCTCCTCTCTCTCCTTCTCCCCATCTTTTCGACCAATTTCGAATAAAAGCTCCTCCAGAAGGGCTTTATCGTCATTCACAGTCCGCGCGGAGAAGAAGAATGTGCTTGTTGTCAACACGAACAGCGGCGGCCATGCCGTCATCGGATTCTACTTTGCGAAGGAGCTTCTGGCGGCCGGCCATGGTGTCACGATCCTGACCGTTGGTGAGGAGGGCTCGGACAAGATGAAGAAGCCGCCTTTCAACAGATTCTCAGTTAAGATTAATCATGAATAGAAGAAAACTGGACACTGTAAACAAAGTAGTTTATTAGAAGAAAATAGATAATATATATATATATATGAATATATCTCTATGAAATGCAATATTTTTCATGAAAATTAAAACATTCAGGAAATTGTGAGTGCTGGAGGGAAAACAGTGTGGGGTGAGCCAGCAGATATTGGGAAGGTGTTAGAGGGAGCTGCATTTGATGTGGTGTTGGATAACAACGGAAAGGATTTGGATGCTGTGAGGTCTGCATTTCTTGAACAATCTTATATATAAAAAGTTCAAAACAAAATTGAAAAAAATGAAAATATTGATATGTGGCTATGTGCAAGCCCATCATCTTCTTCCCACTGTCTGAAGCATATCAAACAGTTATGTTTCTGGAGAGGTCACTATATTACCAAGAATCCACAAGAATTTCAAATTTTCAATACTGATATGAATTAAATTTGAGCATTTTAGTGTCCAACTATCATTGTTTAACATAAAATGCCACTGATATCAATATATCAATGTCTAATAATAGGCCAGTAGCAGATTGGGCAAAGAGTACAGGAGTGAAGCAATTTTTGTTCATCAGTAGTGCAGGGATTTACAAGCCAACCGATGAGCCTCCGCATATTGAAGGGGTATATATATGCCCATAATGTTCTCATTTTCACAAATTTAAACTCAGAAAGGTAACTGTTTACGAGAACTCTTAAGTCTTAACTGTACAGGATCCCGTCAAAGCTGATGCTGGCCATGTCGGTGTAGAGAAATACATTTCAGAAACTTTTGATAATTGGGTGTCTTTCCGCCCACAGTACATGATTGGCTCTGGCAACAACAAGGACTGCGAAGAATGGTTCTTTGACCGTAAGAATATACAGAATTCCGGATAAAACAAAAAAATAAATCGCTTTGAAACATATATGATCATCAAACTTAAGCATATACAAGTTAACTTATTCAAGTTTTGTATCTTGGAGTATGGTTGACGGTCAAGGGCATCGAGAATAGTTCTTGCATCACATTTTAAAAAATTATTCTTGATGTTTTATCTAACTACAAAAAGGATACAATCCTTTACTTTACAAGTACCATATGTTCTCTATCTTGTTTTTGCAAATCATCCCGGAAAACACTGAGATTTAGAAGAATATAAACTAGACATCTTAAAGGGTATTTCTTTATTATACTCTCTATGGGAAATAGTGTACCTTATGATTTTTGAGCTCCATTCGATTCATGACAGGCATCGTCAGAGGCCGACCTGTCCTGATTCCCAGCTCCGGCATGCAGTTAACAAACATAGCCCACGTGAGAGACTTATCATCCATGCTCACTTTAGCAGTCCAAAATCCAGAAGCCGCAAGCAGAAAAATATTCAACTGTGTTAGTGACCGTGCTATCACACTCGATGGCATGGCCAAATTATGCGCTCAGGCAGCCGGGCTGCCTGTCGAGATAGTGCATTACAATCCAAAAGCAGTTGGAATAGATGCAAAAAAGGCTTTTCCTTTCCGAAACATGGTATCATTTCGATTTTTTTTCTTGAAAAAGCTAGAGAGTTTGATTGAAACATAAGTAAAATCTGGAAATTCTGTTGCGGGATGTAACATACATACCTTTTCTTTCGCAGCATTTCTATTCCGAGCCATGGGCTGCAAAGGAGATTCTTGGGTGGAGTGGGACGACAAATCTACCTGTAGACTTGAAGGAGAGATTTGAAGAATATGTGAAGATCGGTAGAGACAAGAAGGAAATTAAATTTGAGACAGATGATAAGATTCTTAAGGCACTCAAGGTACCTGTGGCAGTATGATCATTAATAACTAATAATTATTATTGCCAAGGCAACCTATAAAACGGATTGCATGGGTTTGAGTTCCGGAGGCAAGTGTAATTTCGTGAATTTTCCCTGTTAAGCAATTAATACAATTTTCCCAAGTTTTGTAAATTTCACATGTGAAACAATATATACTCTTTTCGTGTGCTTCAGCATGGTATTCCGGCACACTGAAAAACAATATCAAGATAACAAATTCAAATATTACCTTTACCCCAACTTGTCTGTTAATCTAATTACCAATTCATGCCAAAACGCGGCAATGCAGATACTAAAGTATTTTCGCTGAAATAAACACGGTTCCAGTCTGAAGTCTGAACTAATAGAGTAAAGAAGGTTTTTATCAAAATCCCAAGAACAAACCACAAGAGAGTACATAAGCCAAACAGAACTAAGCACATTTCTTGCTAAGACAATAATAATCAGACAATGCATACTGATACAACCAACTCAAGTCGGCAAAAGCGCTAAGCTAAAAGCAATTCCCAATCCTCATTCTTCCTGTTTGATATCGAGGCCCTTGAGTTTAGACTCTAATTCGTGCCCAACATCGCTATTTCCTTCTTCCTCCTCTTCATCATAGTCTTCTCCTTCTGGGTCATTATCGTCCAGAGGACCAAGAACATTCGGGCAATTCTTGAACAGATCCCTCACCTCATCAATGCCCTCATCTGATATATAATTCCCATCAATATTCAGCAAAGTGAATCCTGGTTTACCCACGACGGCCTGGGCCAATCGCCTGGCACCAGCCCTTCTCATCAAATTGGTATTCATGTCCACTTCACATAACTGGCCGTGACCCTCTTCAAGTGCCTTGGCAATCAAAATAGCACCCTCATCCTTCAATTCATTCTCAGACAGGTTCAATTTTGCAAGAAATTGCTTGGAAGCAATGCACGAAGCCAGAGCAGGTGCAGCTTTAGCAGTGATTTCATTTCCAGCCATGTCCAGAACTTCAAGAGATGGAGCAGATTTCTTTAGAGCATCCGCAAGTGCAATAGAACCCTCGTCCTCCAGATTCAAATAGCTGAGATAAATCTCGGATAAATCGGAAAACGCGGAAAGTGCCTCGCTCAGGGCCATCCCGGCATCAACACCAAACAAATTGTCCCGCAAATCCAGTTTCTTTAAATGCTTACATTTTTCAAGAGCTTTAGCTAGGGCAACACCTCCCTCGGATTCCACCCTTGTGGACGAACACCTAAAATCTTCTAGCAGGGGAGAATTGTTCACAATTTTGGATATGGCTATGGCCCCCTCATCTCCAGTCATGTTGTTATGAAAATGAAGGACTCGCAATTTATCAGTAGAGGGAATCAGATCATAAAGAGCGGCAGCAGCCTCCTCTGAAATTCCATCGTTGATCAAATACAGTTCCTCCAAATTATATTGGGACTTCAAAAGCGCCCCAAATGCCCTGACACCCTTCTCGCCTAGCGCATTATTCGAAAGGTCAAGATAGCGCAAGTTCGAACCCTCGAGTGCCAAAGAGAATATACCCATGACCTCAAGAGCCTCCTCCTCATTCCTTCCCGCCACAAAATCCGATAGATCAACTTCAGTCAACTGATCCTTGATGATCGATAAAATGGGCCCCGCAACAAGAGCAGCCTCCTTGCCAAAACTTGTGTTGCTAAAACAAATCCTTTTATATTTATTCCCGGGCTCTTTCAAGTGTCTCAGCAGCTTCTCGGCATCGGCAGCATCGATAACTTTCCGTGGGTCCCTGGATATATCAAAGGTGGTCCCTCCGTATTCTTTGATTTTAGCGGATATGCTGTCGAGTTCTTCATTTGCTTTTGAGGTGGGGCCTCGTTTGATGACCTCAATCATGAGCCAGCTGGATTCCTTGGCGTACAACTGCACGGCCGAGCTTCCGTCCCCTTCTGGTTCCTTTGTGAAATGTTGGTTAGCCTCGGCAAAAGCAGACGACTCAATTTGTTTGGCATCTTCCTCGGCTTCTTTTGGGCTCAATAGACCATATTTTCTGGACCATATGGAGGGTGTCGTGAGATTCTTGGTCATTCGCTCGATTAGCTTTAGCCTCGTTCCTTGGGATGGAGGCCATAGTTTCACAGAGAGCGTGGAGGTTTCCATTTTGAGAAAATAAACCTAAAATATTCATATTTAGAAATGAGGAACTAAATCGATGGCTTTGAAAAATCATTAGACGCCATAAAATAATTGGAAGAAATGAAGGTTCACTAGAGAGTATTACACTGTTCATACCATTGCTAGAACCCTAATTCAGATAAAATATCATAAACCCCTAAAATCCCAAATGAGACGAGGCAAATTTGTTCTGATTGACAAATGAAAACACTCGGACACAACAAAATAAAAAAGACAGAAAGCATCAAACAAGGAATTTCCAGTTTCAAAAACCAAAAAGAAAAAACAATGAGATTTGAGCTCTGAAATTTAAACATCATAACTAGGAGATTCGCATATAATTTAAAACAATTACACCCTAAATCGTTTGCAACTATGGGAAATGAATGGATAAATTACCGGTCAACGACGGGCGATTAAAATCGCCACCAAAGAAGATGATAGCAACAGATCCAAAGCAGTTGTTGGTAATTGCAAGTAAAAGGAAGAACACTTGAAAACCTGAGAATTTTATATATTCAGAGAAAAATAAATGTAAAATGAAAATAAATTAACAAATTGGACGATTTTGAATTTGAGAACCGAGTGAAAACTCCCGCTGTGACGCTGTCTAATTTTTCGAAAAACTTTTTTGGATCAGATTTACTTTCCTTCTGTCGGCCTAAACTTAATTGGGCCGTTTTGTGGCCCAATAATTATTTCATGATGTCTGATGTTAGGATTACGGGAAAAGCTTAATGATGAATTGATGATTAATGGTGTAAACTTGGCTTAACCACGACTGTAGCTAAAATTTAGATGAAACTAATGTGAGTAATTAAATACTATAAATTATATGGATGAATTTTATATTTAGAAGAATAAGTATGAGCATATTATATTTTGTAAATTTGGTAGTTAATAAAAAAAATAGATAATATAATTATAATTATTTCAGTTATATATGAAGCACTATGTAGATTGCACATAATAGAATAAATATTATGAGTTTTACAAAATTGGTCTTTTTGTGTTTCTCTGTGTTTTTGTGTTTCTCTTGAATTTCATCTCTAGCCTACCCCGATTTACTTGAAACTAAAGACTATGTTGTTGTTGTTTAGTTTTACAAAATTGAGATATTATGCATATTAGTTAGTTGAAAGAATATTACATTATCATTTGTCTCATAACAAGCATTTAGACTATTTAAGAAGATTACTATACCACTAAACTAATTAGCTATTTAAAAATATCTCTTAATAAAATAAAAACAAAAAAGATAATATTAATTTTAAAATAGTTAACTACGAGAAAATATTTTCTATAGAATTTTCTAGTGCGAATTTAAAGTTAATTAATATTAAGAGTAATTATTATATGCTAAAACACTAAAAAATAGTATTTTACTTAATTAATTTTAAATATAAAAATTAGCTTACAAAATATATATGTATATATAATAACATACTATCACATTAATCTATATATATATAATAAGAATTAATATTTACCATAAATAGTAGTAAGGAAAAGTCAACCACATTTATTATATACTATTTTCAGCAACTTTTACATTTTACATTTTAATTTTAATTCATTATCAAAAAATTGGATGGTTCCTAAATTAATGGATTTTAAATGCACGTATCATGTTTCAAAAATTATAAATCATTTAAAATCGGAGGGTTCATAAATTAATGGTTATAAACTTTTCAAAGTTGTAATCTTTATGACATCTTTTCTTTTTGACTTTTAATAATAAAATTATTTTAAATATATATATTCAAATCCAAAAATTCAATCATATTAAATATATATATATATATATATATTGAACGCTAAAAATATTTTTTAAATTGCATACCCAATCAATTAATCTTAATTTTTTTAAAATTACTATGTTTATTTTTTATTAATATGCATAAAATAAAAATAAATAGTTCATCTTTGGATATATAATTTATAATCTTAATATACTATCATTTGGTGTAGACATATGAATCATAAAATATTTTTATTTCATAAAATTAAATATTATATTTAAAGAAAATAAGGAAATTACTTTAGATCAATCGGGTGATTGGATTAGGGTACTGCCCACTTTGATTGAATTACTTTTAGATGATATTTAAAATAGTCAAAAAACTTGACATAACTTGGTTGGTCCGAGGTAATTAAGTTATGTATCAGTTTGACCAGACCAAATTGATTATTGAACCTAAATATAAATTTTAATATTGAAAATACTTTATTACGTGAATGTGATGTAGTCCAAACTTCAAATAATCATATTAACAATACTTTTATGACAACATGATTAATGATTTATGAATATTTATATATCATTTTATTATTATTTATGTGAACAAAATATTTATTTCATTATCATTTTTATTAATGTACGGTAAATATAAGGTTTTCAGAATCGGACCGTCTTGTGGTTGTTCAGATTTTAATACATAATACTTTAATATATATATATATATATATATATATTACTTTTTGTAATAAATTTAAATAAAAAGTGTTACTTAAATATCTAAACAATTTATAAATTCAAATGTTTAAACTAATTGATAAACAATTTATAAATCTTTGTTTTATTTAAATATGTAATTTTATTTAAAATAATTTTTCATGTAACAAAATTTCTTTAGAAAATTGTATCGATCTTACCAGTCCAACATACTGGTGTTGGCGGATTCGATAGCGAATATTTTATTCAAGCGCACTAAATCGGTTATAAACCGATTCTCGGTCCATCCGGTCGGACTGTGTCCAACCCGGTTTAATTTATAAATAATGGGTAAATCATGAATAATGTTATTTATTTATTTAATTTATAATACAATCAAAATATTATTTTCCCGTGCATCGCACGGGCCACATACTAGTACAAATGAACATATTTTCGAGCCGCTTTTTAGAGTCAATTATGATAAAATCATTACATTTTATATTAACTAAATAAACTCATATTTTTATTAACTGCTTTATCATATAAATCTTGTTACTAAAATCAACTAATTATATTCACCTTAAGTGGTATATGGAAATTCTCACTCAAGTTGTGATCTTCCTTGATACGGCACATACGTTCTCCAATTTGTTCATTTTCCACTTCATTCGAAAGTTTGTCTACGATGCATTTCTGTAAGAATGCAAAAAATTGTCTGTTTCAAGAATTGAATATTACGCGTAGACCAAGTTTTCTACTGATATCGACCAAGAGTTAAAAGCAAAAACTAGAAAATAGACCCTGACAAGCACTCCTTTCATCCGGGAATTGAAATGCACATTTCTCCATATTCTCATAACCAGAGCAGTCTGTCGGGTATAAATGGAAGTCCAGTCCAGTCTGTCGCTATAAACAGAGATGAAAGCTAAAATCATCACTACAGTGCATTGGAATATTAAATACCGGAACAAAGGCAATAGTTTGTAGAAGAACAAAAAAACTCATTCAATTACAAAAAATTAAACCTCTTGAAGGTGATTATCATCTATTTCCAATTACGTAACATATAAAACAAAAAGATTTAAAATAAGGGTGAGAAGCGTACCGAAAGAAATCTAGCGGCGAGGGAGGCATCGAGCAGCCCTGTAATGGCCGGTCTCTTGGCATTTTCCTGCAAAAATTGCAGAACACCAAAACAGTGTTGACAACTTCATACGGAAATACGGAAGACATAAGAACCAAAATAAAGATATTACAAATTTGATGTTATTGTAAATTTAAAGCAAAACTGGTACGCAGATGAAGCGCACCATGACAGGAAAAGCCAAGATGAAAATGGTGCGCTTCCTCTCCGTAAAACCGCACCCGTTTATCTACCCCCGGTTCTTACAGAAATATAGATATTTGAAAATTTTCAAAGTTCAAATCTACATGCATGTTAGGATGATGATAGAAGTTGGGAGATTTCAAATTCATATATTAATCGAATGATTTGATGACAAACAAGTAACCCAACAAATACTAGGATCCACAAAAAATTCTAACGATTGAAAAATTTGGGGTTGGAATGTAAAATTATGAGAATCCGAGAAAATAACAGGAAATAGAAAATTCGTAGTGCCAGTAATCACGCAATCATCTCCTTCCCGGTCGTTCATGCCTGTCCTCCTGCATATTTTAAACAAAACGAGCTTAATAATGAAAGACACAAACAAAAACACACATCCCTCCCTATATATTAATTGAGAACGTGCTGAGCCTATGTGGCAGGCTCGCATGCTTCGGGATCCTATGTGGCAAAAATATATGCTTTGTTATTAGGTTTTGGTAGATTTAGTTTACTTCTAATCCAAATATATTTAGGTTTGGATTATCTATAATATGTTGATTATTTATGGTAATGGTGGGCGCCGGCCGGGACGATCTTGGATTTGACTTGTCCGGATATCCATCCCACTTTTATGAATCCGTCCATGAACGAGGCACCGTCGCCATCCATATAATACATGGGTGTTGTACTAGTATACATTTAAAAAGGAAACAAAATAATGCAGGGACTCCTTCCACCATTCCTCCTTCAGCCGCGCGGAGAAAGAGCGGATATGGAAATTGCCGGATGCCCGTGGCGGAGCGGGGCCGACGGATCTTGTGCAGAGGGAGTATAGAAGGCGCGTCGGAAAGTTTCGTGATCGCCATGCCATTTATATCGAGGGTTTTTGGGGGAAAAAAACTGGGAAAATAGTTGCTGAGCCGTACTCCAATGCTACCGCAAACGCATACCTAGCGTTAGGAGCCTTCTCTCTCTTATAGATAACGCAAAATTTTGTATGTATGCTGCAATTAAAAAACCCTAAAAATTAAGAATGTATATAGGTGTAAAAATTGTATGGGTGTGCAAATAAAAAATCTAAATATATATATATATATATATATATATATGTGTGTAAATATATTATATTTCATATATACTGTCACGTTTGTGTTTATTAAACATGAAATTTGTTATGATGAAAATTTATATTTTATATAAATATTTGATAGTAAATTTAATCCAATCTGACAATTTATATATATATATATATATATATATTTAATTGTAAATTTAATTTGTGAGAGTATTTCTCAATTATTGTCAAAAAATTCATAGTAATTTTATGCTTATGAATTATTATTTTATAATTAATTTTTTTTCAACCAATTTTGAAATATTAATATGTTCTAATCTGTAAAGTTGTAAAATATATGGGTAGGTTTAGAATCGGACATTTGTCTCTTTGTTATTGGTCAAATGTAATTTTTTTATTTTTTTAAAAAATAAAAATTAATACTAATATTCATATTTTTTCATTCTCTACAAATACAAACCACACTCGATATTTTTATCTACCGTATACCGTATCATCATTTGTATAATTTTCAGTATCATCTCAATATTTATTTTATATCTACTATAAACATAAGATTAGCGTAAAGTATTGTCTGATTAATATTTTTTATGTTGTATTTAGGGATGGAGACCAAAAATACGTGAACTGTCACAAATACGTGAGACCAAAAATAACAGATAATGGGGCTTTTCTGTGCCACAGTGTGAATTGATGAGTTAGAGAGAGAAAGAGTACGATCACTGGGTTTTTTTTTTCTTGGTTTTTTGGCCTTTCTTAGTACGTTCACCAGACCTGTAACAATGCAAAAACAAGCACAAAAATAGTCAAATTTACTGAACAAATAAAAATAAATTGAAAAAAAAATGTGCAGAAAAAAAAAAGGCTGAACAAAGAAAAAATCAAGGGTTTCAACTTTGGTTTTGTGTGGTGTTTTGTGGGGTTTTCTAGTAGGCGTCTACCACCTCCAGCAACCGACAAAGAAACAGAAAAGTTCTTCAAATTTACTGACATAAATCAAAATAAAGTGAGACCAAAAATAAATAAACAGATAATGGGGCTAGAGAGAGTACAATCAACGTGGGTTTTTTTTCTTGGTTCTTTGGCCTTTCTTAGTACGTTTCCATCACCAGACCTGTAACTGTTAAAATATCAACACCTCCTTTTGGGAAGGACCCGAAAGTATCTAGAACAATCTGGAAAAAAATGTGGAAGGTTCCGGAATATTGTAGAAGGATCTAGAAGTATGTGGAACGTTTGAGAGTAATGTGGAGTCTTCTAGAGCCTTCCCAAATATTGTAGAGAATTGTAGTAGGGATATATGTGTAGGAGTTTCGTAGAAGTATCTAGAATACCTAAGATATTAGATGTTCTAGAGAATTCCTTTAGAGGAGGTGGTGGCTATAAATAGAGGAGACCACCTCATTTGCAATGTATCCCAATAATCCAAGCATCTAAGAGTCTAAGTAAAATAGTGTGTGAGTGTCATAGTTAGTGTCCACGTGTTGCGAGTGTACCCAGCCCAACAGTAACAAGCAAAAACAAGCAAAAAAATAGTCAAATTTACTGAATAAATAAAAATAAATCGAAAAAAAATGTGCAGAAAAAAAAAGGGTGCTGAACAAAGAAAAAAAATCAAGGGTTTCAACTTTTGGTTTTTTGTGGTGTTTTCTAGTAGGCGTCTACCACCTCCTGCAACCAAGAAACAGAAAAGATCTTCAAATGTACTGACATAAATCAAAATAAAGTAAAAAAATGAAAAAAATGCTAACATGCTGAGAATGAACAGCTTGAGAAAAACCATAAAATCTAATGCAGCTTTCTAGTCCAAGAGACCGAAAAACAAGCTAGAAGATTTTGGGAGATGTCGAAGAACATTAAATTTTTTGGGCTTTTATAAACCTGAACCACGAAAAAAGAAGGAGGTCGTTACCTTTCTATGAACAAAAATTCAGCAAATGAAAGGATTTTGGAATGAGGTTTTGAGGGATGAAAACATGTTATGGGATTCAGAGAGAATGAAAATTTTGTCTCCAAAAAACTCACAGTTATAAGTCGTACGACTGAAGTGACAGAGAATGTAGTTGGATGGTCCCCTCCACATTTAAATGACAGATATACCCTGGATCCATATGTGGTGAAATAAACACTAATATGCAAGAATTATTATTTTATCTTGAGTTTGAGTTCCTTATCTTTACGTTTTTTTTTTCTTGAAGGGTTTATTTATTTTTTTTGTTATTTTTTGAGTTCACTAATATACCCTTATCTTTATGTTTACTATGTCATTTTTTTTTTTCTTGAAGGGTTTATTTTTTTTTTATTATTATTATTATTTTTTTTTTTGGCACTTTCCTCCACTCTTTAGTAAGGAAATTTACTTCATTTAATGAAAGTTTATATATACTGGAAAACGACAGCAGTGAAACTAGTGAAACACAATGAACAACAACCCTACATTGTAAAAGCATAAAATTCAAGCTAAAACACACACTATTAATCCAACACAAATAAAAAAAGGACACTCAAAACACTTCTAAAACTAGTCAATAATTCCCTTATTTCCACATGGTTCTTTACATCAGTCTTCCCAGAAAACACGCGCACACACCCACACACACATTTTAGCATCCATCAGGTATGAGCACGACAGAGCCAGTCATCTTCCTGTTCTCAAGGTCCTCATGGTCCTGCGCCGCTTGAGACAATGGGTACGTATGATTCACTACTCGGGCCCGTAAGATGCCCGAGCCCACATTGGTGAAAACTTCAGAGGCTGTCTGCAGAAGTTCGTCCGAGTCACTGTGTATTGCATTAAGGTGGAGCTTCAAACATTCCAGTGATCCCTAACCACACGATTTGCTTATTAAAAGATGAGATAAAATTGTAGCACGTTTTAGCTTATAAGTGAAATCATATAAAAATTAACAGTTCACAAAAACTACCCCTGAGGTCTGGAGTATCTACAGATTTGGCAGATTTTGAAAATTAGAAACTTTCCTTTTCCGATTTGATTCAGTCTTAAAATTACTGGGAAAGGTGATTATGGAAACCTTTCTAAGAAGAGCAATGTAAGGGCAAGGTAAAAAATAAAAATAAAAAATCATGGGGGTCTATTTGTGATTTTATAACTTCTTTGGGTTCTCTTTTGCAAATACTCGAACCTCAGGGCCAGCCGGCAAGTTCTCTTGGAATAAATGACAATTGCAGAAACTATCCACCAAAAGACCTTGAAAATGAGTTTTGTAACCAAGAAAATCACTCGACGCTTGTATTTTCCCAACAAATATTCCTTCAACCCTTCAAAAAGAAGTAATTTCCAATGGGAAAATCAAATGCCATGCGGGATTTTTGTAATTATGAAAACTAGCCGGCTTCCTGTAAGTAATTACTGACTTAGCTAAGCTGCAGGACAATTTTATATATTAAACATCAAACAATTAGCTCGGGAAGAAAATGTAAAGTAATGATTGATTCACATGGTTTCATGTCAATACACATACAGAGACCCCCTTTAGTCCTATTTGCACCAATCAGGAAGAAAAAATATTCATTAATTAACCAAAATTAGCTCATTACCTCGAAAGTGTCCTTCCCAACAGAGTCGTATACAACTTCAACGCCTTTACCGGATGTTATCTCGTTGACACGCGTAACAAAATCTTCTTCTTTATACAATAGCAGGAAGGATTTGTTCCTCAGCATAAGCACCCATTGTAAGACCTGCATAAGCAACAACATCCCCAACTTTTCTTCCAGTAAGCCTGGGCCCTACAGCTGTCACCACACCAACAGCCTCCATTCCTGTCAGCAAGAAAGTTCACAGTAAGACCATGTAAAGGCATAAATATAGTCCAGTACAAGAGCTAACAGAATTCTTAAATTACGAGAAAAAAATTTGATCTAAATTTTCAGCCCATCACAAAGAAAAAAGGGATGAGCAATATTTAAATAAAAAAATGTACTTTTAATAAAAAGAACTCCAACAATGGGCTGATCAGTTTGTATATAAGAAACTAAGAAAGAATAGGGACCAGGAGTGAAGGGTATTGTTGGAGCCTTGTAAACCCCTTTCCGGAAATAAACATCGATGAAGTTCAAGCCGATGGCTTTATTCTTCACTCTGATCTCTCCATCATTAAGCTCCCCAATTTCCACATCCTCCCATTTCAGGACCTATATTCAAATGCACCCAGCAGTAAGTAAGGAAAATCAGGACTTCCAATCTGATGTATAACCATCAATGTAAAAGGCAGTGGATGATTACATGCGTTCACTGGAAAATAAAAACTTAAATCACTCCTGTACAGCTTATATGCCCACAATTTAAGTTCAACAGTAAGAGATGATGAACACTGATGCCAAGATTGGAGAATTTTTAACCATGTATGAAAAAGGGGAATAATAGAAGTTCCAGAGCACAACAAATTGGAAATGAAAGGTGTTGATACTAAAAGAAAGCTCTCAGAATTGGTCTCTGAGCAATTGAGGAGAGTCAAAAAAGAGCTTTTATCTGGAAGGTTCCTTAAAGCTAAAACCAACTTTCTCTTAATACATAATTGACCAAGGGAAATAAGTGAAGCATCAAATTCAATATCAGCTATTGATCCAGGTGGTATATGAATGCAGGAGAAGGTACTAAAAGAAGAAAACAACTGTGTGTGTGCTAAGGATGTGCCTCAGTCCACACAGGTCACTTCAATCAGAGGCAACAAAATATTTGATACAAATTTCCACTAGCATCCCCCTTAAACAGAATAGAAAGATCAAGAATTTATGCAATGTCTATAAGAGATTCTTGAACAAAACACAATCCACAAGCCCTATTCCTACAATGTGCACACTCTAACTTAAGCAAAACAATCATGGCAGGACACTCGATACAAACATTAAGGCTTATGTGCAACATTGGTTCCTTAACAGGGTGGCTTTTTTTAGCAATCTCAATGAGTAAAAATTTGATATAGCAATCTCAGTCCTATGAAAAAGAATAAATGATATTTGCACTTGTAGACACAAAAGTTCAACTAAAGCAACTTTGTCTAACAATATATGATTTTGTACATTCATGGTTCCCAACCGGTTGTCCAGTAGTTAGCATACTCCCAAGAGATCAAATACTGTTGAATGCCAGAATACACAAAATACCACAGATCAATGTGAAATGGTATTCAGAAGTTACAGAATTAAAGATGCTATTTCTGAAAAATGGAAATCAAGAATTGGACTTGCTACCAGATGATATGAAGTAAAATACCAACACTTAACACTCAGGGTACTGAATTTTCTTTCAATTACATCAAAATCAATCTCAGTACATGAGGAGACGGTAAACACAACAGAACCCGAGAATACCATAAATACACGCTCATGCTAGAAAAGTCCAAACATTTTTTTTTTCCATCCAAAATCACAAATGACAAAATCTCCCGTTTCTAAAACATGGAAATTAAGAATTGAAATTGCTACCAGAAGACATGAACTAGGCAGTACCCTCAGGCCTCAACAATCAGGGTACAGCATTTGCAATAAAATCAAAATTAATCTCAGTACATCGGGAGATGGCAAACACAATAGAATCGATGCTGCTATTGAGGATGAACAAATTCTCCTTACTGCTGTCTCCAGGGGCGTAGCCAGAAAAAAATTTAACCCGGGGCTGCATACTATTGTACCTATTATTGGAACCGAGAACACACAGTCATGGGCCGGGCCGGTCCGCCGGTTCAGCCCGAACAGCACAAACCAGCCCGTGATCTTGGCTAGTAAATATTTTATAGTTCATACATTTCGAAACCGACTGTTTCGGTTTCAAAATGGAATTGAAATCGAAGGTTCGGCCTTTAAAAAACAATTATTATTATTTAATTATTTTTTAATTTTTTTAATGAACCGGATGGTCAAGAACCGACAACCAATAAACTGGCTTGTGCATATGTTCGGTTCAGGGCCCTCCAACCCCGCCAGTGCATAATTGAATCATGTTTGCATACGTCTTAAAGGCTAGTCGAGCTTGTAATTAATTCACTCTCAATGCTAAGAAATTTTAAGAAGGCTAAATCACACAAACACTAGATTGAACAACACATGTTAACAATATATAGTTACCAATTTCTTTGAAATATCTTTAATTATGAATTTCTGATTGCTCAAGCTATGTACCAAATCTCTATAAAATGGAGTCTACACTGTAACTTATCTCTTTGAATTACAACAATATAAAAACCAAAACAAAAAATAAATATCTTGAGTAAATTAATTCCTCCAAGTTTTTCTTAGTATTTTTATCAAACAAGTGGTGTGCATAAATTAAAACTATTATATTTCAAGTTTTTTCTTCACAAACCAAATCATGGACATTATAACACAAATATTAATGATGTAGACAATAAAATTATTTATTTCAAACTACACATGTAATGATCAATTAGCATTGTAAAAAAATAAAATAAAATAGAATAAAACACATACCTTAAATCCAAGCTTGGAGCCTTCAGCCTTAGAAGTTGCTGCAGCCCTTGGGAGGGGAGGCGAGCTGCGGGAAGGTGTTGGCGGCGAATACGGGCAGAGGTGGAAGGTGGCCGACGAAATTGATGCGGCGAGTGGTCGGGAGCTTGAAGGCTGAAGCTGCTTGCGTTGGGGTTTGGAGGTGATAATTTGATGAAGATGATGTATTGGGGCTAATTTTGGTGGACTACGTATAAATTAGATGGTTTTATAACTAGTTGGGCCTATTAAAATCAATAGACTTAACATTAAATGAGTTTGTTTTCTAAATTTTGGGTCTGTTTGTGGGCTTTTTAGAACTTTGATAGGGGCTAGCTATAAAATCTGGGTAGGGCTCAGTACAAAATATTTCATAAGGTAAAGTTAAATTTTTTGTTTTTCTTTTTTTTACCTGGGGCTGGAGCTCACCCTAGCCCATGGGTGGCTCCGCCCCTGGCTGTCTCATTTTGAACTGGAATAGCAAAATGGGTGGTTTTTTGTTATTATTACTTTTACATAGGTAGAAGTTGTAGGCTGAGGTGGTTTAACCAGCTGGACCCGAGAATAAACCGGCGGGCCTTCACGGAGGAGGAGGAGAGCCTGATGGTGGCGCACCGGCTTACGGCAACAAATGGGCCTTGATAGCCTGTCTTTTTCCGGGCCGTACGGACAATGCAGTCAAGAACCACTGGCACGTAGTCATGGCCCGAAAGTACCGGGAGCTGTCGACCGCCGGCCGCCGCCGGAAAATGGGGCAGTTTGTTTTCAGCGCGGCGGAGGACGGAGAGGCTCCGGCGGTTCAGTTGGGCGGCGGTGGTAAACAAAACACAAAACAAAAGGGGGAAATATGAACAAAAAAAGGGAAACTATTATCGAGAGTAATTAACAGCGATGAATGAATAAATTACATTAAAAAAAAAAAAGAATAAAAGAAAAAATGATTTATTTAAGTTTTGAATATATCTTACTAACAAAGTTGTAGGAGCGTTATTATTTACATTTAAAATAACTGACTTTATTATATAATAATTTCATAATGTATTGAGCCTATAAATACATATTAGCAATGCTAGGCTCAGGAATAACCATAAATAACTTTAAAATACTCAAATATAACTTCACTCTCCATGTCTCTCCAATATCCTATTTCCTTAATCACTACATGTTAATTATAACCATAATTGAGTCTATCTCAATCAATATCTATATTTCTCAAGTTTCTCGACTGTGAAGGAAAATTTGCTCGACAATTGAGTATGGAATTCTTCACAAAATATTTATCCAATTCATTCATTGTCGTATTTTTCTTTTTTAAATATTTGCATTTGGACGATAGTATTTCATTCATTTGAGAAATTAATGTCCTATATGACAATCATACACCATATCTCAACATTTTGAAAATTGTAGATAAAATTCAAGAACGAAAAATACAACAATGTTATTTTCATTTTAGACTTTTGCACTTATTTGTCTCATAGTTTTATATATCCAAAATACATTGGTTTCAATTTTAAGTTGTATTTAATTAATTTCTGTTGTTTTAAACAAATCATAAATATCTACATGACCTATTTTTATTTTTTTTTTATTTTGTATTTTATGGATTATATTTTGTATTTTGGAGTTCTAAAATTTGTTTTACTATAAGACATGACCATATGAATAAAATTTTGGAGTCATTTAATCTCTTTTGATTTATCGAGTAAGTTTACAACGTAAACATGTATTTTTGGCAAGTGCTTTAAAAGATTTGATCATTTGCATTGGTTTCAACACATTAAATTATTTCCACGATAGATATTTCATTTTATATTTTTTTTTTCCATTTTAAATTGGACCATAAAATTATATTATGTATTATTTACCTTACTTTTATCTTTCATGCAATAGTAATATTTCAATCAATATATTTAATCCTAATTAGATTCAAGTCACGAATGGAAAAAAGACAACTTATATATTTGATCTCACCACCATAGTAAGTGAAACTTAAACTTGGACAATAAGTTTATGCTATTTTAAAAATGGTTAGGATGGGTAAATACAAAAATTTTATATGATTTTAATTTGAGAATAAGCTAGTAGAAATGGTTATTTCTAATTAATTTAAGATAAAAAAATCACGTTACTGCGAATGTGTACTACTGTGTGCGTTTGATTGTGTGACGATATTGCGTGTAATATCAAGCTATTCAATATTATTCTAATCAATGCACTGCTCAAATAATAGTTGAAATTTTAATAAACCGCAAAATTATAGAGTTGAATTTTACGAGTTCAATAAAGTTTAACTTACGAACTACTCGTTACGTTTGTAATTTACAAGTATCATAAAGCGTAATAATTTTATACAAATTTTCTTTGTAATTTTTTTTATGATTCAAATATCATAATAAAATTTATTCATATTATATTTTAAAATATTAAAATATAGTCATAGTTATTGAGAACAGAAAAAAGTTAATTTGTCCAAAGTGTTCATCTTGTTGCCGAAAATCAAAATATTTTTGTTATTATTTTTGTTAAACTTTTGGAATCTTAAGAAACCAACAAAATAAATAATGATTTCCAAAGATTATCATCACAATTTTTAATTTTCCCCAAACTATCATCTGGCTCGGAACGGAACACATCATAATCTGAGGGTAATATAGACATTCAAGCAAATAAACTAACAGATGCAATTATTTTAACTACTGTTCACTCGCAGTGCTTTTCATAACGCCTGCCACTGTGCACGTAAAAAAGCAGTACCCAATCAGCTCATTTTAGACGTTTACCCTCACTCACACCTTTTGCATTTCACTTTTCAGCTGCCTGCTCAAGCAAAAGCTCTGTGGAGTAAAAATCTGTAAGAATTTCTCTCTCCCTTTCGTTTTTTTTCTTCTGCAATCGTTTCTGCTCGATCTTCTCCTGCGTTTGAATTTCTATATATATATATTTGATTGTAAATTTAATTTGTGAGAGTATTTCTCAATTATTGTCAAAAAATTCATACAAACACTCTATTTATATATGTAATTTTATGCTTATGAATTATTATTTTATAATTAAATTTTTTTCAGTCAATTTTAAAATATTAATATGTTCTAATTTGTAAAGTTGTAAAATATATGCGTAGTTTTAGAATCAGACACTTGTCTCTTTGTTATTGGCCAAATGTAATTTTTTATTTTTTCAAAAAATAAAAATTAATACTAATATTCATATTTTTTCATTTTCTACATATACAAACCACACTCAATATTTTTATCTACCGTATACCTTATCATCATTTGTATAATTTTCAGTATCATCTCAATATTTATTTTATATCTATTGTAAACATAAGATTAGCGTAAAGTATTGTCTGATTAATATTTTTTATGTTGTATTTAGGGATGGAGACCAAAAATACGTGAACTGTCACAAATACGTGAGACCAAAAATAACAGATAATGGGGCTTTTCTGTGCCACAGTGTGAATTGATGAGTTAGAGAGAGAAAGAGTACGATCACTGGGTTTTTTTTTCTTGGTTTTTTGGCCTTTCTTAGTACGTTCACCAGACCTGTAACAATGCAAAAACAAGCACAAAAATAGTCAAATTTACTGAACAAATAAAAATAAATTGAAAAAAAAATGTGCAGAAAAAAAAGGCTGAACAAAGAAAAAATCAAGGGTTTCAACTTTGGTTTTGTGTGGTGTTTTGTGGGGTTTTCTAGTAGGCGTCTACCACCTCCAGCAACCGACAAAGAAACAGAAAAGTTCTTCAAATTTACTGACATAAATCAAAATAAAGTGAGACCAAAAATAAATAAACAGATAATGGGGCTAGAGAGAGTACAATCAACGTGGGTTTTTTTTCTTGGTTCTTTGGCCTTTCTTAGTACGTTTCCATCACCAGACCTGTAACTGTTAAAATATCAACACCTCCTTTTGGGAAGGACCCGAAAGTATCTAGAACAATCTGGAAAAAAATGTGGAAGGTTCCGGAATATTGTAGAAGGATCTAGAAGTATGTGGAACGTTTGAGAGTAATGTGGAGTCTTCTAGAGCCTTCCCAAATATTGTAGAGAATTGTAGTAGGGATATATGTGTAGGAGTTTCGTAGAAGTATCTAGAATACCTAAGATATTAGATGTTCTAGAGAATTCCTTTAGAGGAGGTGGTGGCTATAAATAGAGGAGACCACCTCATTTGCAATGTATCCCAATAATCCAAGCATCTAAGAGTCTAAGTAAAATAGTGTGTGAGTGTCATAGTTAGTGTCCACGTGTTGCGAGTGTACCCAGCCCAACAGTAACAAGCAAAAACAAGCAAAAAAATAGTCAAATTTACTGAATAAATAAAAATAAATCGAAAAAAAATGTGCAGAAAAAAAAAGGGTGCTGAACAAAGAAAAAAAATCAAGGGTTTCAACTTTTGGTTTTTTGTGGTGTTTTCTAGTAGGCGTCTACCACCTCCTGCAACCAAGAAACAGAAAAGATCTTCAAATGTACTGACATAAATCAAAATAAAGTAAAAAAATGAAAAAAATGCTAACATGCTGAGAATGAACAGCTTGAGAAAAACCATAAAATCTAATGCAGCTTTCTAGTCCAAGAGACCGAAAAACAAGCTAGAAGATTTTGGGAGATGTCGAAGAACATTAAATTTTTTGGGCTTTTATAAACTTGAACCACGAAAAAAGAAGGAGGTCGTTACCTTTCTATGAACAAAAATTCAGCAAATGAAAGGATTTTGGAATGAGGTTTTGAGGGATGAAAACATGTTATGGGATTCAGAGAGAATGAAAATTTTGTCTCCAAAAAACTCACAGTTATAAGTCGTACGACTGAAGTGACAGAGAATGTAGTTGGATGGTCCCCTCCACATTTAAATGACAGATATACCCTGGATCCATATGTGGTGAAATAAACACTAATATGCAAGAATTATTATTTTATCTTGAGTTTGAGTTCCTTATCTTTACGTTTTTTTTTTCTTGAAGGGTTTATTTATTTTTTTTGTTATTTTTTGAGTTCACTAATATACCCTTATCTTTATGTTTACTATGTCATTTTTTTTTTCTTTGAAGGGTTTATTTTTTTTTTATTATTATTATTATTTTTTTTTTTGGCACTTTCCTCCACTCTTTAGTAAGGAAATTTACTTCATTTAATGAAAGTTTATATATACTGGAAAACGACAGCAGTGAAACTAGTGAAACACAATGAACAACAACCCTACATTGTAAAAGCATAAAATTCAAGCTAAAACACACACTATTAATCCAACACAAATAAAAAAAGGACACTCAAAACACTTCTAAAACTAGTCAATAATTCCCTTATTTCCACATGGTTCTTTACATCAGTCTTCCCAGAAAACACGCGCACACACCCACACACACATTTTAGCATCCATCAGGTATGAGCACGACAGAGCCAGTCATCTTCCTGTTCTCAAGGTCCTCATGGTCCTGCGCCGCTTGAGACAATGGGTACGTATGATTCACTACTCGGGCCCGTAAGATGCCCGAGCCCACATTGGTGAAAACTTCAGAGGCTGTCTGCAGAAGTTCGTCCGAGTCACTGTGTATTGCATTAAGGTGGAGCTTCAAACATTCCAGTGATCCCTAACCACACGATTTGCTTATTAAAAGATGAGATAAAATTGTAGCACGTTTTAGCTTATAAGTGAAATCATATAAAAATTAACAGTTCACAAAAACTACCCCTGAGGTCTGGAGTATCTACAGATTTGGCAGATTTTGAAAATTAGAAACTTTCCTTTTCCGATTTGATTCAGTCTTAAAATTACTGGGAAAGGTGATTATGGAAACCTTTCTAAGAAGAGCAATGTAAGGGCAAGGTAAAAAATAAAAAT